CTGTTGGCTTTAAGTGCGGCTTGCGTTATGCCCAGTGCGGCCTGATTAATCTGTGCGGGTGTTGTCATATCCCCGGAGGCAATCTCACGTTCAGTATCCATATCGTCTGGAAAGGGAAAAAATGTGCAGGAGCCTGAACGTACACATCTTTTGACAAGGTCAAGGGAGGTGGCACATTATCCACTGGTCCTTCTACCTACTAAAATATGCCTTTTGCTGGTAGGCAGGCAAGGCAGGCAAGTAGCCCTTGGTGGATCCGGAACTCCGCCGGGTGGGCCTCAATCCCGGCGGCGAGGAGGAGGAGGAGGAGTCGGAGGAGCATAGTCTTTTGCTAGTGTAAGGTACTGGCTTTAAATGGATTTCCATGTCAAATCATACCGAGTGGACGAAACCCCTGACAATACAAGTTACCAAGTTTGAGCCGTCAAAAAGTTAGCTAACTTTTTTGGACTATATATAACGCCAGCTGTTTAAAAGAGCCCTAAAGATCGTCGATCATTCTTTTTCTAAATGACTGTTGGTTAATTTGTGCCTGCAGAGTACCGTTTGACAGAGACGTGTCTTTTTGCATTTCGATCTGCGCTTAGGGTATAAACCTACCAACGGTCGGTGTGCAAACCCACTTTTAGTTTATGAAGGGAACCTATCCCGGCTTTGATAGGATTTAAGATTCGGGAAGCTAAGTAGTCTCGTGATAGCCTTGCTTACATAAGTTCAGTGCTTCGATCATCAGAAGAGACGAGGGCCGTTATTTACAAAACCATGTACCGCTGACGTGTGCGAGAATGGGCTTCTAGCAGGGAAACTTTGACAACATCTATCCAATTCTCCCATCCTACGGCCTGGATGTTCCAGCAGACAAAGTCAGGACGCCTGGAGATTAGTATGGGCACGATAGCTGATGACACTGATATCGCGTCAACACGAGATACACATGCCGGCCCCTAGATGCACACGAAGCAGAGTCAAGGGAAAGAAAGTTTGGAGCTTCAATGGAGAAAAATGGTCATATTCAGAGTGCACTGCAACCTGACTCCAAAACACCCCAAGGAA